ACTCCAAAATATATAATCCAAGTTGGAGAAACTATCTAAATTTTAATTGGTCAAATAATATTACTGGGAACAATCCATAGAATTCTAGTTAAAATAATTAAGGAGTAAATTGAAAAAATCCTCAACAACCTATTGGTAATTCTAGACCAACATATAATCCAACATTCAATCAAAACAATCAATTTTGAAGTAGAGGCCCCTTATAACTCCCTTTTTATAGCATATACAGATAGCATATCAATTCAGAAGAAATCCGGACAAATCAGAAATCAGACAAAAATCGGGCAGCACAACGGCAGTATACGGAATTTACACAATTTTTCCTGAAAATCACAATTTACCAAATTTGCACAGAATGTAGATAACAACATTTCAGAACATTTATTCTACTGCACAGAAAATTTTCAATTACACAGAAAAATCTAGTCGACTAAAAACACAGTCGAATCAAAAATACCCAGACAAAAATCTTCAGAAAATAACCAAAATGTGCACACTCGGCACGTCAACAACATACAGAAAGTTACGCGGTAAAAACTGAACCAATCGAAAGATACGGACGAAAATGCCTCGCCAAAATCAAATCCGAACAGAAAACACCGCCAAACACGACGGTTCTGAAAATTGAGAAAGGTAGAATGTGCTCTACCTTGCGTACAGCAATTTCTCGAACAGTCTCGTCGGACGAAAACGGCTCCGTGTCGTCCGAAAATCAACTTTCCAAAAGATTCCTCGACTTTCTCTCTCCTCGGCTGATATTTTTATTTTTTTTATTTTCTCTCTCTTCAAAACGACTGATTTCAGCTTTATAATACACAGATCGGCCCGGCCGATCGCCAGATCGTCCCGGGACGATCAGACCAATTTGGATCGTCCTGGACGGTTCCCAGAACCTCGATCGGCTTGATCGGCCTGGACGATGCTTACAGAAAATCACCTGGAGCAAATCTGGGCAAATTCTGGAGAAAATTCTCAACTGATCGTCCCAGGACGATCCTAGAGCAGATTTTGATATTACAATATTAGCCCTTAGATCCAAGATAAGTCAGCCTAAATTATCTTCATCATTCTTTCTTCCATCACCATGAGGTATTGGTTAGTAGTGTAGTCAGCATTCTCCATGTTCATGGAAGGCTCATGTTGAACTCGTTTATTTATTCGACCTTATATTCTGGTATATAGTATCAATCCATGTTTACTGCACCTAAGATGATGTTGGATCCAATTTTAAATGTGGATAACACATGACTTTACTAGCAAGCACACCTAGTGATATAGAATTTATGAGAAGGTGAGTGGAGAAAATAGAGGAATTTTGGAGAATGCTTAAAAAATTATTAGTTTAAAAACTAATAGGATATCCACTATATTAGTTAAAAGTACAACCTAATTCCCCAAATTATTTTTCATCACCACTTATTATAGAGTTCTAATGACTATAGAAAAGGAAAAACAAAGAAAAAAAAATACAATAATACATAGATCACCCAAACATTGCTACACACTACCCTATACACATGCCACCCCTTGATTGACTGAGAGAGAGTGAGGGCTACATAATTCTATTGATTTGTATCTAGGTGAGCTCAATAGTGCCGAGGGCACATTGGGTGAGCTTCATAGTATGGAAGAGCTTGGTAATACTAAGGAGTGGGTGAGCCTATGAGCGAGTTTTGAGGAGGAGGTGCTTGAATGCTCTAGAAGACACTAGCGGTTTGAGCTAAACCTTTGATCACCTGTATGAGAATGCTAGTGATATGTGAAATTGGATAAAATAAGTTCGGTCATTGACCAATCAAAGCAAGGCAAGCTGGGACTTCCTTAAATAGGCACTTTCTTGTAGTTGAGTTCTGATGAGGGGATATTTTCTCTTGAGGGAGCTAGTGATGGATGTGGTGGCAAGTCATGTCCGCAAGTGCTGAGTTGTTGATGTGGATGTCTTGGTTTTCCCTATGATGGTCGAGCTCCTTAATAATTCTGAGTGAGTAGCACCTGTTGATCCTTTTGGTGAGTCCTCTCATAAGCTTCAAGTGAGCAGACACCCATGTTATGTAGGAGAGTTCATACTGTGGGCTACCCCGGAGGGCAAGTTACTGTTGGCTTGCTTGGTCACTTGCTAAATACCTAAGAAGATATATATGAGTATGATGTACTTTTTATTTTTTACTTTCTAAGTGGTGTATTGATGATTTCATAGTGTTGCTTGGATGAAATTATGTGCAGTTGAGTTGATATATTTTCTCTTTATATGTGGTTATTATGTAATGCCCTAGAAGAAACTACATTTTTCTTAGCGTGATTTTCTACCAAGCCAATAATGCTCAAAGGAAATCTATGTATGTAATTATATTAGTATGTACTTTTATTTTTTCTTATGTTAAATTTAGTCTATGAAAGCTATGTAGCCATGTAAGATGATCCAAAAGATGAAGGCCAAGATGTGAACTAAATAATGGATTCTAGAATTTAATACCTTATTTGACATCTCATTTTTGTATATAATATAGAATTGAATATATATTATATAATATAATTATATATTACAATCCACAACTACATTGTTATATTTCTTTCAAAGAGTCCATTACAAAACCCAAGTTGGACTCTCACTATTTATGTAAGTTAATACTCCTTGCATACATTATCGAATGCATATTGTTTTCTTAGGATTATCCTTAAGTCCATATCTTTTTGCTTTAGTCAAGGATGTTCTCACTAGACATTTGCAAGAGGATGTACCTTGGTGCATGCTTTGTGCTTATGATATTTTTCTTGTTGATAAGACTAGAGAGGGAGTTGAAGGTAAACTTGAATTATGGAGGTCAACTTTAGAGTCTAAAGGTTTTCACTTGAGTAGATCTAAAACTGAATATATGGAGTGTAATTTTAGTGGAAATAGACCTAGTGAGGGGATTGTGAATTTGGGCGATCAAGTCATTAATAAGAGTACATGTTTTAGATATCTTGGATCTATTGTTCAGAGTGATGGTGAAATTAATGGGGATATTATCAGCAGAATTCAAGTTTGATGGTTGAAGTGGAGGAATGCATCGGGCATATTGTGCAATAGAAAAGTCCCCCTCAAACTTAAGGGAAAATTCTATAAGATGGTGGTGAGACCTACAATGCTTTATGGTGCCGAATGTTGGCCATTAAAAGAGAAGCATAATACTGAGTTAAGTGTTACAGAGATGAGGATGCTTAGGTGGATGAGTGGCTTGACCCTTAGAGATAGGATACGAAATGAGCATATACGTAAAAAGGTTGGAGTATCTCCAGTGGAAGATAAGATTAGAGAGAGTCGCCTTAGATGGTTTGGTCACATTAAACGGAGGCCTTCCGATGACCTGGTTAGGAAAGTTGAGGTATTAGATTTGGCTTATGTTAAGAAAGGTAGAGGTAGGCCTAACAAGACTTGGTTAGAAAATATTAGAAATGATCTTTCTTTATTAGATTTAGATGAGAATTTGACTTTTAGCAGGATACAATGGCGAAAAAGGATTCATGTAGCCGACCCCACATAGTGGGACAAAGGCTTGATGTTGTTGTTGTAGGTTTATTACAGCCTATTGTGATTGGCATATATTTACACTAATTAGGATTTTAAAATTGTAAATATTTAAATCTCATATGCAAGCATGAAAAAAATAGCTACAAATATTTATTTCATTAAAATGAACAAATGATATATCAATTATCTAGCTTTTAAAATAATCAAATGCAGCCTCTTTGTGATCCAAATGTACTATTAATAAATATCACACCTAAATAATAAATGACTTACTAAAATCTTCGAGTAAAAAATATGTTAGAATGTTTTGATAAAAATGATTAAGCTAGATTTAAAAATTTTAGAATTTACTTTAAAATAGATATAATATAAATTATGTGTATGCATTGTGTGTGTGAGTTTGCCTTAAATGGCCTAAATGTCCCAAAAAAAATATAAATTATTTATTTATGATTGTTGGGGGCTAAAATATATGTGACAATAGAGTTAGAAATTTTTGTCTCAGCGTTTGTACGGATATCCAGCACAAAAACATAAGAAAAAATAAACACCAAAATTTTTACGTGGAAAACCTTAGAAAGGGGAAAAATCACGGGGTCACACCTTGTTAAATGATTCCACTAGTGTTTGATTATATTACAAGTGACTGACTCGTCCCTGAAATTGAGGATGATCAAATCTCAATAATCAACCATTGAGTTAAAATTCAGTTATGAATGGAGATCGAAAATCTGACGACGTTTGGTGGTCAAGTTGAAATCCAGCTTCAATTGACGGTCGTTAGAAGTCTGGTGTCAATCGGCGGTCGGGCAAAAGTCCGCTGTCAATCATAGGCCGGGTGGAAGTCCGGTGGTGGTCGAGGAGGAGTCTGGTGGCAAGAAAACTCAAGTTTCTCTTCTTCCTTCTCTTCCTTGCTTTACTCCCTTTCCATGAGAAATGAATGGTCTATTTATAGTTTTCTGAGAGTGGTATGACCAGTAAATAGGAGAAAGATCAATGGTAAGTTTGATGAAATTGTTGATCCCCTTCATCATAGACCATTTACTAGGCATTTGAATATCTTTATGACGTCAGAATTCGACGATCTTGTGCTCGTTAGATTTCTCTCATTGAGCCCCTCGATTCGACTATAAACATGTCACATTTGGTAATCCAAATTTTGGTTTGAACCTTTCAAATGCGCTTTAGGTCTTCGATTTGGACCCATTTGAGCTTAGATTGGGTCGAATTTGGTGTCGTTGGGTTAGTAATTCTGAGATGTTCAGTTCGACTGTAAGTTTGATGAAATTGGAGTTCGAGATCCCAAATTTAATTTTGGAAGTTTCTGATTTGATTTTGCCGCGAGATTTGTGCCCAATCAAGATAAATTTTTGATGATATGTTAATAATATTTATTTTAAACTTGGTATTAAATTTTAAATATATTTTGATAAAAAATATGATCAACAAATGCCAATAATTTAAGCTCGAACGAGGCACGAGTTCGGACATGGTGAATGGATCCGTTTTGATACTTCAATATCTTTGTCAGATCGTCCGCTGCCCTATGCGAACCTACGCAAAACCCTAAACCCTGCTGAGATGTGGCGTTTTGGTCTCACCCGGGGTCAGTCCGCCGCACACGGCGCTGCCCCTCGCCTCCTTCCCTCCTACTTCTTGACCGCCACCTGCGGTATCCTCGCCCGCTCGTACGGCCTGATCCCAATGGTGATTGAGCAAACTTCGCGCGGCGAACGCGCCTACGACATCTTCTCCCGTCTCCTCAAGGAGCGGATTGTATGCATCAACGGCCCCATCTCCGATGAGACCGCTTCAGTCGTGGTCGCCCAGCTGCTTTTCCTCGAGTCCGAGAACCCCTCGAAACCCGTTCACCTCTACATCAACTCGCCAGGCGGCGTCATCACCTCCGGTCTAGCTATCTACGATACCATCCAGTACATACGGTCTCCGGTCACGACCCTCTGCATCGGCCAGGCCGCGTCCATGGGTTCCCTTCTCCTCGCCGCCGGTGCCCCTGGCGAACGCCGCGCCCTCCCCAATTCCCGCATCATGGTACATCAGCCTTCTGCCTCTGGTATTGGTGGTCAGGCCGCGGATATTGCCATCCATGCCAAGGAGATCATTAAGATGCACGAGAGGCTCAAGGCCATATACAATAAACACACCGGGCAACCACTTGAAAAGATCGAGAAGTTCCTTGACCGGGATACATACTTGTCACCGGAGGAGGCCAAGGAATTCAAACTAGTTGATGAGGTCATCGAGCACCGGCCACTGGCGCTGGTGACAGATGCTATTGGTGGTGAGAGTGGTGGTGGTAGCAACGGCAGTGGGGAACATTCTGGTGGTGAGGGAAAGGAGCAGAGTTAGGTATGGAATTGGTTTCCTTATCCAATATAATGAGAACGTTTGATCCTACTTTGTGATCCTGTCTCGATATTCATTTCTTCTTCTGATTACTTTCATGAGTTGAGCTTGAAACTTGAATATAATTCAATCAAGGCATGGTGTAGTCTTATCACCTTGTCAAATTGCTTTATAGCTTCGTATTCTATCTAAACTCTTTTACTACTTATTGAAGCAAAATTTTGATAGTTGAAGTGTTATCTACAGATTTGTATTCCTTAACGTTGCCGGGTGATGTGATGTTCTATTTAATACCATAGTTAACTTCTCTCTTCATTAATATGGTGTAATATGTGCTCACAGATTCTTTACTTCTAGTCACTATGAATATCTAGCAGTAGAGAGTGCTTTGTTTTAGCAATAATTTTGGTGTTCCCTTTTTTCTTATGGTCTGCTTGGGAAGTTTTTGGATTAGCAACAGTCTTGGTGCACTCTTATTTCTGATAGACTGCATTGAATGTAAGATGATTTGCTTGTGAGGTTGGAATGATTTTCTCTTTGATGATTCGAGGTATGCATTTCAGCTTGTTATTTGAGATGGGATAAAGAAGATTAGAATTCACTATCAAAATTTTTCGCATTTTGTCAAGAAATTGGATAACAGTAGTGTGCTATGATTTGAATTTGATACCTCAAACTGCATTTTAATCCAACATATGGATAACAGTACTTTGGGAAGTTGGTCCTTGTTGTTGTTGTCATCAATGGATTGAAGGCCACTTACATGAGATATTAAGTGCCACCTTTTTAGATTGTTATCTCACTGAATGGATTAAAAGGCCTCCTTAGGAAGACTGTCTAATGCTCTAGTATTATGGCAATAGCAACATTCTTCATCACATCTCCATAAGCATCTTTTTGCCCATTCATTGCCTACAAATTTTTTTATTAGATAACCTCATCTTCTTTATGCTGTTATTCTACTGCTAATCTTATATGTAGCCACTGCTTTTACCTCTAGTGATATTTCTAGAATGCCATCATTGTCTTTTGCTGGAAAACTTGAGTTGAGATAGAGGACCGTTGTTCTAGGGTTCTCAACTATTTTCTATGATCATTATCCGATGCAGACTTCCTTTGGAGTTGCATATCTAACTAAGTTAGATTGGTCATCTTCAAAAAAAAAAAAAAAAACAAACAATTCGTCTTAATTCCTCTTTTTTGAGTGCCGATTATGAATATATTTTATTTGGACTAATGAGTTAGACTGAGATTTTGTTGTGCTAATATTGGCCCTTGAATTTGTGAACTCCGATAAATTGAATTCCTAGGTTATTGCTAAAGATTGAGAAGATAAAATCATTATATGTATGTGTGCTGGTGACAGGTAGAGAGTGAGAAAGAGAGGGGATGAGTATTATCTTTATATCTTTATTGCCACATCTTCTACTCGCATGCTGATTTAAGTATCTTACTGATTCTTGTTCGTAAGTTAAGAGAAAACCATTACCTTTAAAAATGGACCATTGAAGGACATGCCTATTAAGGTCACATCTGTTGAGTTAAACAAGAATTCTTGCTCATTTGACACTCCTAGATCTATTAATGTCCTTGTATCTACATGGTCATTATTTGTTTGTGTTTGATTCAAAGTAAGTTATGATTCATGGGACATCTATAGGATTAGGTCCGGCTCTTAGGATGGGAGCAACACTTAAGATGGTCTGAATGAGCTAGGTTAGACTAGTTTTATGTCAAATCTAACATGTTTGGCCTTGTTAGAGGCGAGATATACAATCATTTTGACAAGGCGGTTCTTAGCATGTTAGATTATAAGTTTAATGCTCAAGCATCTAAAATGGCATATCTTGGTGGGTTTCAAAGTACAAAACCATTTAGGTAGAAACTTACTAGAATGGACTCAATCTCTCAAGTAAAATGGAAAATTTGTTGCCTCTTTATAACAATGTAAACTCTATTGAGATGTAAAATGAGCCGAAAAAGACATTGAAGTTCAATGTATGAACCATTATGTGTTTGTTTTATGCCAAAGGGTAGCGTGGTTGATTCAGTTGTCATATGACTCAATATTGATTCTAGAGAAGCCTTTATTTGTTTTACACCCTATGGAATGCTTTCTTGGTTTGCATTTGAAACTGGTAACAGTTTATAAAAAATAATTATTGTCCTTAGCCTTTTGGGTATTCTGCATAAAAAAAAATCTTTGTAATAAGCCGGGTGTGGGGGGGGGGAGCTCATGACCAGGCCAGAGGAGCTATTATACATTATGTAAAGAATTAAGGGGAAGCTGTTTAGGAATGTTTTAAGTTAAAAAGGTTTTTATTGTGATAGTTTTTAATTTAGGAAGGTTTTAATTGTGGAAGTTTTTAATATTTTAAGAAGGTTTTAATATTTTAGGAAGTTTTTAATTATGTGTTAGGTAGGGTTGTCAAAATTGGGTCACGGGTCGGGTTCGGGTTGAACCTGAAACTGACCCGACACTATTCGACCCGACCCGAACCTACCTGTTTTTGCCAACAGGTCAATTTTTCGAACCCGAACCCGACCCGCTTCGAGTCAACCCGAACCTGTCCCGTTTGCGCGCTTATTCTGTTATTCAGGTAGCGGCCGCTCGTCTTTACTTCCGATTTTCGAACGCAGCTTGGGGAGCCGATAAGGGTAGCGAGATGAATGATGGCTGTGGAAGCTCGAGACGCCAGCAAGGGCAGCGAGACTTGTCGTCATCGTTACTTCTGATCCTTTTGTCGTTGTCGTTACTTTCAATCCTCTTGTCGTCGAAGCCAAATGCAGGTCAGTTGCGACAGCCACAACGGCAACTTGGGCGGCAACGACAGACCGACAGTGGCAGCGATAGCGGGATGAACAATGGACGCGACAAACGAACTGACAAATGCGACATACAAAGTGACATATGCAATCCAGGTCAGACAAATGCAACAGAGACGGTTCCCGGGTCATAATCGAGTTGTTTCTGCGTTAACCCAAACTCGACCGATTTTACAAACGGGTCGAAATCTCTAACTCAAACCCGACTCGGTTCGGATTCGGGTTGACCTGAACCCCAAATTTTTGTGTCGTGTTTAGGTCAGGATTTCGGGTCATGTCAAATATTGACACTAGGGTTATTTAAGGAGGAGTTTTGTTTATGATTTTTATGTTATGTATGCTTAGTTTATTTTCCTCTTGTTGATATGAGTTTCCTAACGGTGGCTAGGATTTATGGGACAGTCGATCTATATATTTTTTTATTAGTTGGAGCCAAGGTTTAAAATTGCGTAATTAAGCCTCGATGCGGTTTTCGTCTGTGAGGCGAGGCGTAAGCCTCGAGGCGGTGTGAGACGTAAGCCTCACGGAAGCAGAATTAGTCCCTATATTTGTGTTCCTACATTTCTTCTACTCTATTTTGTTGTTTTTGTTTCCAAGAAGCATCAAATTGGTATCAGAGCGAGGTTTAGAGAGATGACAACAAAGAATGTGGATGTGTTGTAAGGCAAAGTGAAGAAAATTAAATATCGGATGGAGAAGTTCTTAACTATTGAAGGAAGATTTTTAGTCATGGAGAATCAGATGGAGAGCTGATTTCGAGGGTTGGAGGAGATGATGAGGAAGCTTATGGAGATGCAATCCAAAACTCCTCTGACTGTTACGATTGTGTTAACCCTAACCATGATTTGATTGTGATTCCCTTGGTCGAATCTAAGGGAAAAGAGATTGGTGGAGAGGAGTTCGACAAGGAGAATTTCTATCATTAAGAGACACCTCCTAGGGCTCCGATAAGGGGCAGATGAAGATTTCCCAATGGGAGGACAATATGGAGGAGTAGGGTGGCCGACTACTATGGGAGGCATTTAGGTCAAGGGGAGTGGGCGACCATAGATAGAGGGTGTCAAGCTGAGCCATGGGAATTAGATTATGCCAGGAGGGTGGAAGAAAGTGGGGATTCGCACCCTCGATACACAGGGGAAATATGGAGGGATCACAAAAACCGCTACATTGGAGGAGGAGGAAGTTATTGGGGCAGTGACAATCCTATGATGAGAAAGTTGAAGATGCAAAAGATTGAGGAGAAGAAGAGTGAGAGTTCAATGCGTGATACACAAGCTCCTATCGAGGATAAATTGATCAACAAGGAGAAAGATGTGAATGAAGAGGGCAATGAAATAAACTTGCAAAATCAAGATGATGGTGTTGATCAAAACCTAAGTATTGTGCAAATTGATTCTATCGAGACATTCACATCCTAAGAACCTGTGTTTTTAGAATACAAAAACAAAGATTGGAAAGACACTAAAACCAAGTCAACATCTGAGAATGAAAAAAAAAACCTGTGGAATCACCTTTGGTTTCTACTGTTATAGGTATTCTGAAGATGGAAATGTTGAGGTTGAAACACAAGATAGAGCTAATACAGAGTTCTCAAAGGAAAAAAATTGACATCTAATTGATTAAGCTGGAAAATTCGAAGGATGAAATTCAAGTGGAAAGAGTTGCTCTGCATCTTCAAAGCCTGGAGAATCGGGGTGTGGTCTTAAAAGGCGGTGCTGAGATTATAGACGAGAAGGATCTCACAGATCATGATATGGAAGAACTACATTATCCATTCCAACAAGGAAAACTAGAGGATGGAAATAATATTTGTTTCTTCAGTAGTTAATTGACTATTTTGAGTAATCAAATTAAAATCCTATAAAAATAAATTCAAGTTACAAAACAGGAACTTGGGGAGGAGCATTATAAAGTAGTGAACATTGAGATTGATAGTTTCATCCTGAAGGAGTTTTTGGTTGAATTGTCTCAAAAGATTGCAGAAAGTACATCATTTATTTTCTCTCAAAAGATTGTTCTAGTTACCAAGGGTGAAATCCATCATTTTCAACTTTAGAAACCATCTTCTTTCGCATTTTAAGAGCAACTTGCACTGATATTGGTGGAGCTTAGAGCACAAAATAAAGTTCTTGAGCAAGAATCTATTTTTGAGAAATTAATAAAATTTTAACCTCCAAAGAATAAATCACAAAATAATGGAGATAAATAAGTGGTTGCAGAAAGATATTAATGCTGACAAACACCAGGATGAAATGCTAAATATAGGATAAATGATTACAGGATGTGAAGGAGTATTGTGTTTTTATTGCAATGATGTTTACTTTCATAAATCAATAGCGAGATGCAGTTTTGATGTCTCAATTGTAGGTGTATGGGTAGTCGTAGTAGATGCGATGGAAGGAGGAATTTCAACAGGAGGTAAGCAAGGTTGACGAGTGTAAAATCTTGAAAGGGTGAAGTAGGCACCAAAGCAATAGATGGCAGTGGAACTTGATGAGAACAGTGGATATAGTACGATATAAGCAGGTAGTAGAAAATTTCTTATAAATGATGACACTATCAGGAGGTTGTCTTCTGAAAGTTGATAGTAGTAGTGACATAGCGGTAACTTGTATGGGAATCATTATATCCATAACCTTTTATAGTACTAGCATAAGCCCAAAATACACACTTAATGGCATGAGAAGTAATTTTATTACCCTTTGAAGGAAGAGTGAACAAAATAAACACACCATAAGACTTTGGGAGTAAGATGTAAGATATGTGTGTATAAAGTATTGAAAATGAAGGAAGACCACCTAGAATGGTGGATGTTAAATGATTGATCTAGTAACAACCTGTGAGAAGGTAATCCCCAAAATTGGTGTCGGTCGAATATGCATGTAAAACATAATGGTACGAACAACATTAAGAAATTGTTGGTGTTTGTGCTTGGGCACGCTTTTTTGTTTTGTCGTATAAGAACATGATGATTGTTGGATAGTGTCATTTATAGTATAAACAAAAATGAAATAGAAGGTTGAAATCTTTGGGAGCAATCAAGAGCATTGCTTTTACGAAGTCTTTTAATTTGAGTGAAAAATTGAAATTTTTTTTTGGATAAAGATGCTTGAAAATGGAAAAACTTTTGACTGATTCGACATCAAATTAACTCAATTAACTTTGGTGTGATCGTCAATAAAAGAAAAAAAAAATCAAACTGAGTGGACATAGGTCTTGATCCCCAGATGCCTAGATGAGCCATGTCAAAAGGCACACTATATGAGTGCACATTTTATCAAGATGTATTCATGCCAAAGTCTTGATTTCTATCCATTTCTTTATTTTTATAAAGTGTATTCTACCTTTGTTATTGTTGACAAAAATAATAGGCGTGTACATAACACCCATGAAAGTAAATTGGTATGGGTAATTGAAGAGAAGGAAATCAAATGATCTATTTTTCTTGTTGACTCTAAAAATCTTCTTGCAAATTGTATAATTTTGGTTTCATGCTTCATGCCAGTTGTTGTCAAATCTCTGTCTCAAGTCGTATAATTATGAGTAGAAATGCACGCAACTTTGTGGCTTGGTTTGACGGCAATTTTGTTGTTTGGTTGTCTCCAAATAATCTAAAATTTATTGAATAAGTTTTTATTTTTTATTATAAGATTATATAATATTTGAATATAGTAAATATTTATTAACCTCTCTTACTTTTAGTTCATTGACCGGTCCGATTTTCACAACCTTGCATTCAAGTGTATTTGATGGATGAGTTATTGATAGCTTTCTCAACAAAAATAATCATAGAGAGTTTGCGTGTCAAGATAAGAGTCTTTTTTTTTAATAACATAAATATCTCTAATAAATTGTATGTGAAGGAGACATCTATTTGCTTCATATGCATGATGGTTTACCCATTAAATAACATATAATCATGCTTGCTTTCTTTTGGAAGCACAGACATTTTGTTAAAAAGTAAGAATTGAGAAGGGTTTTATGATGACAATAAATGAATGTTTATTTTTGTTGGTTCTATAATCTATAAAGTGGATTCTTAGGCATTGTTTGGGATGGTTGTCTTACTGCTTTTTAAAATAATTAGTTGTTTTAAGAAGCAATGAAAAAACTGTCTCAAAAGAAACCTTAAAATAGTTGCATTATGCTTTTGATGCTTTGATATCTGTGTTAATTTCCGATTTTTATACTGGAACTAAAGCTGATGACTTGCTCTTTTATATTTTGAAGTGGTGAAAAAGTTTTATATTTTGTGTATGTAAACTAATATGAAATTTTTATACTAAAAAGCTGCTTTAAGAAGCAGTAAAAAAGTCGTCCTAAACGAAACCTTAATATGCTAAACTTTTCCAGGCCATGTTGATTGTATCTATATAGGTTTCTTTTGTTAATAGCAAATCATGGGTTTGTTTCTTTTGCTAAAACTTTTATTAGCTAATGGTAACAATCTAAAGCATTTTCAAATTGTGCTGTATTATTTGGAAACAATGAAGCACAAGATATTAACAGCTAATTTTTGGTAAGACAGACCACTCTTGTTTTGAGGTAGAAGGCCGGTTAGTAAACAGAGAAATTTTGATCAATTAAACTGCAATCTTATTTCTTAAATAATTAGATAAGTGAAATAAAATGAGACGATCCTATCTTTCGGTTGTTTTAACAACCTATGATATTGTATTTTACTCTATTATAGATCTTAATGCCAAAGTCTAATTGAAGCCATGATTATAAATTCTGATTGTTAGATTGATGAGAATAGTTTTGACAAATTTTGTTGCTCAAAATTTTGGATCATTAGAAAATGATGATGATAGACTAATAATTTGGTATTGAGATATTTATTTTCTTGAGCGTAATCATTCGCTACAAAAGGCTTACCAAATAGAGGTCTTTAAAGATCATAATGATTTTGAAAGACACAATTGGCAAATGAATTGAATGAAAGAGGATACATTGCTGTATGATTGGTCACATTTAGGCTTCGTTTGTGACAGCTTTCTTACTGCTTCTTAAAGCGGCTTTTTAGTATAAATTTTTAATTTTGGTACTAGAAAGCCGCTTTAAGAAGCAGTAAGAAAGTCATCTCAAACGAAACCTTAGCAGCCATTGTTATGAAGTTTCTTGTGAGAGTCTTCAATGGGGCGGTGCTAACAAGGGAGGCAGCCATACCCATTGCTATTTGATCCTTAGTGCAAATGATCTATTTCACATGCAAATAAGAAAATTGACTCAATTACATCAATCAATTTGGTCAAAGATGGGTTGGCTCATTATGGTCCACCCAATCCGGGCCTCTCCATTTTATCAAAATGTTTATAGAATTGAACGAAAATTTATCTCTGAGATTTCAAATATTCTATTTTGTAACATGTCAATCTTTCTATCTTTTAACAAAAAAATATTTTATTTTTCCAAAATATAAGGAATCAAGTTATTTTTATATATGTGCATATATTTACACAGTGAGGGTTTTTTTTTTTTTTTCATTTATTGAATTAATATATCCAAATTAAAAATTGGCCAATCCTGACCATCCTAATATATTAAGAAGCCTATAGTACATCAAGTTTTGATCCACAAAATCAAGCAATGTTTAACTTTAAAGGAGCCAAAATAGTCAGTTTAAAGGCAAATAATTTTCAACAATGAAGTTAGTACCTTTACTAAAGTCGTCAAATAAAACTCCACAAATTTAACTGAGAAAAGTCTGTAATATTTTTGTTAGAAAAAAATTTATAAAATAAATTTTGCATATAACATATAGATGTAAACTATATAAAAAAAAAAGATGTAAACTATATTTAAACATATAGCATAAATGATTAACAATTTATATTAAATTCATAAACTTATATTTGAATTAAATTTATATTAATTATGATAAATTCATTAAATTATTTACATTAAATTCATAAAATAATTTATATTAAATTCATTTAAAAATTTATATTAAATTTTTAAACTTATATTTGAATTAAATTTATATTAAATAACTTTATTGCATGAGAGACTTCAGCTCAATTAACAAAGAAGGTAAAGTCTTCCACATTTATTTTTTTGCACATGTATGCTTTCTTTGTTAACTTTCACTTTACTTTTACGTTGTTCATTTTGTACATATATTGATACCTCACTATTTTGCACAGGTCCCCACATGAACAAAATACCAGCAGTTCACTGTCATGAGGGACTTCAGCTCAGGTACATTTTTACTTTGTTTGTTTGCAAAAATTTTCTTTCTTTCTTTCTTTAGTTGTTCACTAACACCCTTGTTACTCTATATAGGGTCAAGGAGGAGCGGGACAACAGTTCGTGAGCCATTATAGGAGACCTTGGTTCAGGTACACTTTTCTTTTTTGCATCTTTATATATATTTGTATAATCTTTCTCCTTTATGCTAATGTTTATATTGTTTTATGCAGGTTCCAGAAGTGCAGAGTTCCTAGTCTTTGGAAGAAGCAAACCTGTCGACCTCCTCTTTAGGCTTAGATTTAGGAGACATATTTTAGTCCTATGCGAAGGACATGGTACCATTTTATTTATTGGCTGATGCAACCTTGGAAAATGATGTAAATTGAAACTTGTATGTAAATTATAAATTAATAAAATAAAGCAATTTTATGAATTCAGGTATTGACGAGTTCTGCTTTTATTGCTCTTGTAACTCTTGTGGTTGTTATGCTCACAGTTTTAGACCATCATTTGAGTTTACAGTTGCACTATTTTCTCATCTTTAGTTTGAGTTTGAGGTTTTGGTTCCTTCTACCCTGTGCTTTATGCATCGAACATTGGTGAATATTACCTGATTTGTCTATACTGACTTGTTAAGAGATTTTTATATATTCAACCCCATGCTTCTTACTTTGGTGGGATTGATGAAGGCGTAGATGTTGGTTACCCTTTAGGTTTACATTAGGCCAGCGATGAAAAATCATCTATTTAGAGCTTTGTATGTAACAAACTTATTGATGACTGGATCTTCTAAATTCAGCCTTAAGATTTATGTGAACTTTGGGATAATTTCTTCAGTCCTTTACTTTATGCTTTCACAAACTTATAAAAGAAGGATTCATTCGATCCTCGCTTTGTTCTTTATGAATTTATTAAAGAATTTGCATGTTTTGGGTTTAATGGGTAATTCCAAATATAGTTAATTCCTTGACCCTTAACAAGTTGAGAAGACTTCAACTTGAGTTAATAGAATTAGGTGAGTTAGAATTTAATAGCTCTTCATCATTTGATTACTAAAATAGGGGTTCCTCTACTATAACTTTTCTTAAGACTTATTGAGTAGACAGAGCTGCCAGCAACTCAACCATATCTAGGCTTGTTAATTCTGACCTCATATGCCTATTCATGCTTTAGACTTGAGATGTGGAGAAACATACTCCTTGAGCTAGATTTGTTGAAGTTTGTATATTATAAGTCTTCCTTCATTGTTTGAGATCTTAGAGATTATACGCATTCGATAGCTGTTGATTGAGACTCATACTTACCATTATAACTTTGACTCTCTTGTCAATTAGAAGAATTTAATGGACTACGGCAACTTGACTCATCGAGTTAGATAAGCCTTTGTGCTTCTTACATTCCCTACTAATAGGTTGACGAAATGGGGGTTCCTCTATTATGATCTTTCTTATGGCTTGTTGAGTAGATGGAGCTGCAAGTGACTCGACTATCTATTGGCTTGTTGAGTCCAACCTCTTATACCCATTTGAATGTTAAGCTTTAAGATGTTGAAGTTTTTGTGCCACTCTATTCTGACTTACTAAAGTATGTAGTCATAAAAATCTTCTTTTCTGACTTTTGAAGTCTCAGCATATTATGGAAGGCGATATCTTAAACTTTGTAGAGTATCACCTATGTATATTTTGAAAAGAACATTTATCATATTAATTATTTAGAGGAATACTCATCTTTTCACTGTAACCTACTCTACGGTAACTTAGTAAAATTTTTTGGACAATGATTACTCTTACTTATCGAGTCAAATATGCCTTTGTGCTCTCACTTGCACTTTCTTGCTCTTTCTTGCTTTCTCTTTCTCTCTCTTGCACTCTCTCTCTCTCTCTCTCCCTCTCTCTCTCTCTCTCTCTTTCTCTCTCCCTTGCACTCCCATGCTCTTTCTTGCTTTCTCTCTCTCTCTCTCTCTCTCTCTCTCTCTCTCTCTCTCTCTCTCTCTCTCTCTCTCCTTCTCTCTATCTCTCTCTCTTGCTCTCTCCTGCTCTCTCTTGTTCTTTCTCTACCTTGCTCTTTCACTAACTTACTGTGTAGACGGTGTTGCTAGTGACTTGGCCACATCTTGGCTTTTTGAGTCCAATTTCTTATGCCCATTCGAACCTTAAGCTTCAGGCTGCTGAAGGACTTGTGCCACTTTAGCACGACTTGTTGGAGCGTGTTGTCACGAAAAAATTCTTTCCTGGTATTTGAAGTCTCGA